AGGACAACGAGAGGGGCTGTGCTTCGTTTTGAAAATTACTTGTGAGAGATTGGAAAACCTGGATTAGAACCTTCCAATTTGGAGGGGGTTCCGATTTGAAAGGGGCGAGGGAAAATCATGGTTTGGAAGAAGGGAAAATCATGGTTTGGAAGAAGAAGATGAGGATAGGAGAAGACTGAAGACTGGAGAGAGAGTGATTTGGATGAAGAGAGGAAGGAGAGAGAGACTGAGGAAGCAAAGGCAGAGAGGAAGCAGCGGAGGGGAGAGAGTGTGAGTGTTTGAGATCTGAAATGGGAAATGGGAAATGGGAAATGGGATAGGAGTGAGACGGCTAGGGTTTGTAAAGTTAAGAAATTTTATAAAGCATTAAATTTAAGAAACCTATAAATAACTTATTGGTGCAATTATAACAACTCAAAGCCTACAGTCAAGTTAGCTTGCAGCGATTAACCCCAACATGCAGGGAAGGGGTTTAAACCTTGACGCCAACACGTTTTTCGTATTTATATATGATATTTTTTTTCGGTTCGGTTCGATTTCTGGACCTCAAAAACTGAAACCGAACCAGCCAGATTTGGTTTGGTTTGGTAGTTTCGGTTCAATTTTTTTCAGCTTCGGTTCAGTTTGGTTTTTTATTTTTTTCGGATTTCGGTTTTTTGAACCCACCCCTAGTTTACACTATCTCATTAGAAGGATAAGGAGATGTCAAAGACAAGTTACTGAGATCTGGAGTCATATGGTTTATGGCCTTTGAGTCAGTGAGCCAAATTTGTGGTTGATGATGAGGTGTGGTAGCTAAAGATGAATGAGAAGAGACTGTATGCATAGCCTGGATATTGGACTGAGGAGAAAAGTTGGTGCTGAAGGAGCATAAGCATTGCTTGACATTTGAGGATAATATAGACCACCCAAGTTGGGGACCTTTATCATTGAAAAAACAATACCAGGTAGGATGATTTGTCTTGCCACAGATTTGGCATCCCTGGCTTTCCAACTATTTTGAATGATAAAATAGAGCAGTGTGGCCAAGCTGATTACACAATTGACAAGGAACTTGCTGTGTAGAAGAGTGTTCAAGATACTGTGATGGAGAAGGTCCAAGAACACTAGAGAATACAGGTGCTGAATGTGAACCATGATTTGGAAAATGTTGTCTAGAATTAGGATTAGGATACCTATATCCCTGATTGTATTTTCCTTTACCCTTCTTGTTATTGTGGAAAGAGCGATACCCACCTGAGGGACCAGAATTATGAACTGAAAAACCAGGATTAGCACCACCATATTGATGTTGAGATGTAGAGAATTTAGAACCACCAACGTTATTAGCCACCATGGCAGACATAAACTGAGAATTCACATTGCTGTTAACAATCAATTCTTTAGTAAGAAGTTGCACCCTGAATTCTTGGAGAGAAATAACACTTTCACGACCCCGTATAACACTACGAAAAGTATTGAACTCAGGAGGTAGACCATTGAGTGCTAATATAATAATATCCTCATCTGCAAAAGTAACTCCAGCAACAGAGAGATAATCTCGAGCTTCCTTAATCTTTTGTAGATATTGAGACACAAAATCAGCCCCTTTCTTAATAGTTTGAAGATTTGACTTGAGCTGAAAAATACTAGTCCTAGAAACAACAGAAAATTGTTCCTTTAACCGAGTTCAAATATCATAAGCACTTATGCTTCCAATAGCACATGAAATTGCAACAGATGACAAAGTTGTAGTAATCAACTGCATAAGGGCACGATTGTGCATCTTCCAAACAATGTAATCTTCATTCTCAGTTTGAGTAGAAGAATGTGCAGCATCAACACCAGAAGCATTGGAAGTAGCATAACAAGTAATAAAGCGAGATGGACAAGAGTGGAGCCATCAACAAATCCCATGATACCATGTCCCTCAAGCAACAATTGCATTTGGAATTGCCAATTCAAGTAATTAGAATCATCAAGCTTAACATTCACAGCTGTAGAAATTGTATATATAAGACCAGTAATAGGCGATTGGAGAATTTGTAATTGAGATGTAGTAACCATATTTGCATAATTGAGATGGAAAAGTCATAGAGGAAATATCACAAATACCTGGTGTGCACAATCTTATAATCGCAGAAAGAAGGAGATGAAGAAATCTAGAAATCACAAAGGAAGAAAATACCAAAATTCATCCAATAACACAACAATATACTTTCGTCGAGAAACAAAAAGAATTAGAGATCGAGAAGTCGAGCGGAAGTGGCCGAAGGATCGGAGAAAACAGCGTAAGCAACAATGGCGATTGATACCATGTTAATGTAGAGAGGGAGAGATTGAAAGAGAAGATCAAAATTTCAAGAACTAGATAGAGAAAGGTTTTAAAGAGAGAGAAAATCTACATAATTGTTATATTGGTTTTTTTCTTTAATCATTAAGCTATTACAATGATGCATTTATATAGAGAACACACTTTCTAACAAACTAACTAAGGCTTACAATCGTGTGACAAGTGACACAATCCTAGCCACTGTCTATATCCTTACAATTCCGTCAATTATACCATGTTTTCTTGTAGAAATGGGGTAAAAAATTGAAGATAAATAAAATGGATTTTAATTTCTGGGTTGAGAAAGCTTTACAATTGAAAGGTTAAGGAGCTAGGGTTAAGGGAGAAGGCGAGGAGTTCAGTGCAGGGAGGGGAGAGAGAAAGGCTAGTTGAAAATTAGGGTTGGGCAAACTTTGTATTTATATGAGGGGTGAAGTACTGTAGAATAGCATTATTAAATGAAAAATAAGTCATTTAGTACCACGGTCTAGTAGTATTCATTTTCGCTTATGAGTGAGATATTTTAGGTTCGAGTCTCGCCAAATGTGAAGTTGAACCATATTATTGCTAGCTCATTGTGAGGCACAACCCACCCCCTCCTCCTTAATGCAGATAATATCGTTAGTAAAAAAAAAAAAAAATTTCTTTGACAGAAAAAAGGAGAAGAAAACTGAAAAAGAAAAATAAAAAAAATCAGCTCCCAAAGTTGAAAAACACATAACGTATCTTTGGTGTAAATTTTTTTATAGTTTGACACCAATGAATGGTGTTATAAGGGTTAAAACCATTGGTGTTACAAAAGTTTAAGACACCAAATTTTGACAATAGTGACACTTCAATTTACAAAGCCACCGATGAAGAAGGGTGTCCTCAAAATGGTGCCCCATAGCCAAGGAAGAAAAAATCGATAATATCGGCGAAATATCATATTATCGTTTTTTTAGAGGTCCGATATTTTTTTAACTATCCAAATGATTTTCGTCAAAATATCGAGATATTATCGATAAATATATTTTCGATATTCCAAATTATAATATATCGCGATATAATACTAAAAAGTACTTAAATATGTTGAGAAAACTCAACACATACTTCACTTGATCATAGCCAAGGAAGAAAAAATCGATAATATCGGCGAAATATCGCCGATATTATCGTTTTTTTAGAGGTCCGATATTTTTTTAACTATCCAAATGATTTTCGTCAAAATATCAATAATAATATCGCGATATTTCAAAATTATCGATAATATCTATAATATAATACTAAAAAGTACTTAAATATGTTGAGAAAACTCAACACATAATTCACTTGATCATTTTAGCCCAAAGGCGATTTTTCGAAAGAACAAGCTATGTTTTTTCTCAGCAGGGGAATGTGGGTTTTATAGGACAAATTGCTTGCTCACTGCTCTCGCATGGGCGATGTGGGACTCGCCCAATGAGAGAGAAAATCAGAATTTCGGCCGAAAATTTACACCCACTTTAAACGGCCATAACTTTGTCAAAACTTAACGAAATCAAGCAAGACAAAAACGAAAGTTGTAGCCCTCGAAGAGACGAAGAGAATGGTACCTCACACGACGTCACTGAGGTCGCCAGAAACTGGGTAAGATTCAAATGAGTATAACGTTTTCAATACTCAACGAAATTGAGTGAAACAAAAAGGACAGTTGTACTACTCGCCGAGACGAAGAGATTGATACCTTGTATGCCGGCCAACTCGCCGTGGTTTGGCCGGACATTGCCTCGAAAGCCACTGAGGTCGCCGAAAACTGGGTAAGATTCAAATTAGTATAACGTTTTCAATACGCAACGAAATTGAGTGAAACAAAAGGAAGCCCTCGAGAGAAAGAATGGTACCTCACACGACATCTGACTCGTTGTGGTTTGGCCCGGAAATTGCCTCGAAAGCCACTGAGGTCGCCGGAAACTGGTAAGATTCAAAATGAGTATAACTTTTCAATACTCAACGAAATTGACAAAAAGGAAAGTTGTACTACTCGACTCGACGAGGAGATTGATACCTTGCACGCCGACCAAAATTCAATTGACTCCTGGCTTTCCAAAATTCAATTCTTTTACTTTATATAAACTTGAAAAAAAACATAATCGGCATCCAAATTATTAAAGTTTAGTCTTATTCAATGTATTTGATTTTCAATCGTTAATTGATATACTATAATTTGGAACTTCAACGCCTAGACGCATGCTTATGTGTAAGAAATTTAAAGTGTCAAATTTGGCACATTATTCTTCATCATTTTATTCACTTCCCTTTTTTTTTTTTAATATCCTAAATAAAACCTCCAAATATTTTACTAATTAAATGATATGATTATGTTGTTGTTAAACTTAACATATTTTCTATACTCACAATGTTTGCCAGCTTGTATATAATCAACTTAAATTAGTTAAATCCATCATGCAATGCATTTCCTTCCAATTTTTTGTGATAAACTAATAGATAATTGACTAAATAAACATCCTACAAAGTTTCATTAAAAATTTCCAAGTTTTTCTTACAATTTCCGTGGTTTCCATGTAATTTTTATCGATATCGATATTATCCCGATATTTCCATCGATGTTTCCGTGTTTTCGGACTACCGATATTTCCGATATTACCGATATTTTCTTCCTTGCCTATAGCACATTTTCTAGTAGTGCTCACTACAAACTAAAACAAGATATATAAAGGAAAGAGATTAAACAAATTAAACCGGACACAGCCATACATCTATACTCTCCTCACACAAGATTCCAAAGACGCATCAAAGTGTCTCACCATAATATATCTCACTATAAACTAAAACAGGATACATAAAGGAAAGAAATTAAACAAGACACAGATTCACACTTCACTATAAGACTCTGACGTTCTAGATTGATATCTCTCCCTCTATTCCCAACCAAACATCTTCTGCAGGCCAAGAACAAGCTCATACACCTTCTTTTCGTCAGCAAGAGATTTGGAAACACTCTCCCTCTGCATGCACCTCTTGGCCCATGCAATGAGCTTGGGACACTCGGCCTCGATGCTGAAGTTTCCACAGATCTCATATGCATGGAACCAGCAGTAGAACGTGATGAGAGCAATGTCCAAGAACCCAAATTTCTCACCCTCAAAATATGGCTTGTCTCCAAGCTGTCCCTCCAACTGCTTCAGGATTTCGATGAAGTCCTTTTTTGCTGCCTCTTGTTCCTCTCCCTTTGTCATCCATATCTTCGTGCAAGCATCATATAGCTGCAATTTTAAGACAAGATTGCATCAGATCATTGCTATAGCGAGTTCAGTGGGATTAATTAAATTTTGACTTCTTTTCTAATTCCCGCGGCTATATTTGTTTAGGGTTTTGTAAGTTCCAATGATTGAACTTAAGTAGCAAGAAATGGATCACAAAATAGCAGAGATCACAAAAGCCGTTCATGAAAATTAACGAGGCATGCAAGATAGATTTGTAAAGAAAGTCAGGAATTCTACCGTAAAACTAATTGATAATATAGAAAGTAGCTCAATTTATTTATAAGCCCACGCAAGTTCTTTTATTAATTTAGAATTCATTTTCAACACGCTCTTTACGTGTGATACATTTATAAACTTACCACATAAACAATACAACAAGATATCGTGAAGTGTGTGTGCCCGTTTAACTTCACACAAGGACCATACTTTGTTACCATGAAAAAAATTGAAATTCCACCGTAAAATCAATTAGCAATATGGAGATTGATCCAACTTATTGAAGTGGGTCTATGTGTTTTTTTATTAATTTTTAAATGCTTAAAAATTAATTAGAACGGTGAACGGCCGCATAGCATCTAAAAACTAATCAGAATGATGACTAAGGGTCTAACGCTTAAGTGGGCTAGATAGCATTAAACGAGAATTTTTAGAATAATGCCTCCATAGCCCATAAAAAATTGTATTTTGCTCCTCATGTCAAACTGTTTATGCTAAGAGCAACTCCAGTGTAGGAGCCCTCCCCCAGGCAATTCACTATTTAATCCACCTAGTGAACAGTAACTGCCCTTAATGAATAGTGCATTCCCCTGTCAATTGCCTTTTGCATCTCCACCCCTGCACTGAATAGCCCTGGCAATTGGCAATAAAATATTAATATTTTTTTATTTATAAAATAATACATAATAATTTTATTTGTAATTTCGGATAAGATTTTTAATCGTTCTCGTTGCACCACGTGTCATTATCCGAAAAGCCAATAGCAATAAAATTTTTGTATTTTTGTATTTATAAAATAATTCAAAATAATTATATTTGTTATTTCGGATAAGATTTTTAATCGTTCTCGTTGCGCCACGTGTCATTATCCGCAAAGAAAATTATTGGTGATGGATTTCCGATAAGATTTTTAATCGTTGTGTCAAGGCACGTGTCATTATCTGAAAAGACAATTATTGGTGATGGATTTCTGATAAGATTTTTAACCAATCACGTCGTGCCACGTGTCACAATCCGATTACAATCTTTGAGGATAGATTTCCACCAGATTTTTAACGAATGACGGCATGCCACGTGGCATTATCTACAACCTAATCCCTTCTAAATCCTCCATATAATCCCCCATCCATCCTCATAAATCTCACACCAATTTTCTCAAGATCTCTCTATCATTATTCATAGTTTCTGCTTCCTTCTTCGCCAAAATCCCTATCATTATTCATAGTTTTTGCTTCCTTCTTCACCAAAATCCCTATCATTATTCATAGTTTCTGCTTCCTTTTTACAATGTCTTCTTCTTCTTCTTCAAAGATGATGTGGGAAATCGAGCAAGAAGAGGAAGAATTGTTTAACCAATCACAAGGAATGTTCAATGTTAGGGATTGGGCCCAAAATGAGATGGAAGAGGATGACGAGCGTAGACGGAGAGATGACGAATCAAGAATGGCAGGAGCCTCACAATCCCGTCGAGTCGTCCAAGCTGTGGCTCATATCTGCAGGCCCAACCGTGCTGTAAAACATTGATAGAAACAGGCAACGACGAGGTCAGGAGCTCTTGGACGATTATTTTGTCCGTAACAGTGCATTCCCTGAAACATACTTCCGACGTCGTTTTAGAATGGAACGACATTTGTTCAACAAAATCATGGGCGCTGTTTGCAACCATGATTCTTACTTTGTGCAAAAGCCGGATGCTTTTGGTGCTATGGGTCTCCTGCCTCAGCAAAAAATTACTGCTGCCTTGCGGATGCTTGCATATGGAGCAGCTGCAGACCAAGTGGACGAGATAACGAGGATGGGACAATCAACCATTCTTGAGTCCCTCATGAGGTTTTGTTCGGCAATCGAATCTATCTACACCGCAGAGTACCTCCGGAGACCTACTCATATGGACTTGCAAAGGCTTCTGAAGAAAGGCGAGATGCGAGGTTTTCCAGGGATGATTGGAAGCATTGATTGTATGCACTGGACTTGGAAAAACTGTCCAAGTGCATGGCAAGGCGCTTATGGGGACAGAAAAGGATCAAAAAGTATCATTTTGGAGGCGGTGGCATCTTTTGATACATGGATTTGGCACGCCTTTTTCGGGGTTCCGGGAGCTCAAAATGACCTCAACGTCCTTGCCCAATCCCCAGTGTTCAACGATGTCCTGCAAGGAAATGCACCAAAAGTCACGTATGAGGTCAATGGACGTATGTACGACGGGCCATACTACCTAGCTGATGGCATTTACCCAAGGTGGTCAACATTTGTCAAAACAGTGCCACGTCCGCGCAGTGCAAAGGAAAAACACTTTGCAAGATGTCAAGAAGGGTGCAGGAAGGATGTGGAGCGTTGTTTCGGTATCCTCCAAGCTCGCTGGGCGATCATCAGGGGTGCTGCCAGATTGTTTGATGTAGAGTCACTTCGATCCATCATGATGACGTGCATCATTCTTCACAACATGATTGTGGAAGATGAGTACGATTATGAAGCCGTTGATGAATATGAGCCAGACACGATGAACAATTCAAGAACACGTATATATTGTGCTCATGACGCCACCGATGAGCCCGTGCAACATGAGCCATTAGAAAGGGATGGACGTTACAATGAAAGGATCATCCAACGATATACTGCACTTCAAAGGTCAAATATGCACAATGCCCGCCAACTTGACTTGATAGAGCACCAGTGGGAATTGAGGGGTGCTGACGATACTTAAGTTCATTAGTGTTTGTTTTTATTTGGTGTGTTTATTTTATTTTATGTGGTGTGTTTTTTTTTAGTTCATTTAGTGAGTTGAAATGTAATTTTATTTTATTTGGTGTTTGTTTTTTATTTGGTGTGTTTATTTTATTTTTATGTGGTGTGTTTTTTTAGTTCATTTAGTGAGTTGAAATGTAATTTTATTTTATTTGGTGTGTTTATTTTATTTTATGTGGTGTGTTTTTTTAGTTCATTTAGTGAGATGAAATGTAATTTTATTTTATTTGGTGTTTGTTTTTATTTGGTGTGTTTATTTTATTTTATGTGGTGTGTTTTTTTAGTTCATTTAGTGAGTTGAAATGTAATTTTATTTTTTTTGGTGTTTGTTTTTATTTGGTGTGTTTATTTGGTGTGTTGATGTTATTTTATTTGGTGTGTTTAAATGTGTTTTTGAATAAAGTACTAAGTTCAATAAATTGGAAACAACATAAAGTACTCTATTCAATGAATAAGAAATTACAACCCGAATAAGAAATTACAACCCGAATTGATTGGAAAATTATGGGTTCGTGAATGGATGATAACCATCACCTAACCAATTTGTGGTGCTAGGATGATCTTCTCTTGTCATGCTAGGATAATCTTCTCTTGTGGTGCTAGGACCATCTCCTCTTGCTCTCGCTTCTCTTGCACGCCTCCTTCGCAACACATCCGCTTTCTCTGACTTCCAAAAAATATTTAGAGTCTGGAGACTTCCCTTCTAAAGGCTCCTTCATAATGTCACGATCTCGTTCAGCCATTCTTTCTTCTCTTCTATGTTCCCTTTCTTGCCGAAGTAGTTCTCTTTCTCTCTCATCAGCTTCAAATTTTCTCTCAAAAGCTGCAGCTTTTGCATCCTCTCTAGCCTTATCAGCCTCAAATTTAGCCATTTCCCGGGCCAAATTCAATTCACCTTGGCGGGCAAGATCTTCCATATACTTTGCATAATCATTCTTGGAAGCATTACCTTTTCTCTTTGAAGCCTTCTTACCTTGAGGCCTAATTGGATAACGGGTCGACCCCGACGCTTGTTCAACGGGGGGCGTTTCAGGCACTTCTTCATCATCTTCATCATGATCATGCGAGGCATGCTCAGGTGTAGAGTGTAGAGGGGTGCTGTTCATGAAAACTTCTGGACCGACATGCACAACTCTAAATTTAGGACAATCTTTGACAATATTCCAACATTCAAACCGGGTGAATGTTTTGTTTTTGCTTTTGGTTTTGGCACTATACCAAGCTTGTGCTTGAAGTTCCTACACAAACAAATAATTATAATGAGAATAGGTAACAAATAAATAATTATAATGAAAGTATGTAACAAATAAATAATACAAACAAATAATTATAAATGAAAGTAGCTAACAAATAATTATAATGAAAGTAGGTAACAAATAAATAATACAAACAAATAAATATAATGAAAGTAGCTAACAAATAATTATAATGAAAGTAGGTAACAAATAAATAATACAACCAAATAATTATAATGAAAGTAGGTAACAAATAAATAATACAAACAAATAATTATAATGAAAGTAGCTAACAAATAATTATAATGAAAGTAGGTAACAAATAATACAAACAAATAAATATAATGAAAGTAGCTAACAAATAATTATAATGAAAGAAGATAACAAATAAATAATACAAACAAATAAATATAATGAAAGTAGCTAACAAATAAATAATATATTGTTACCTGATCCGTTAAATTTTCCCCACTTCGAAGATTACCACTAGCTTGTGCCAAGGCGTCTCTCCACGTACTAAACGATTGACTAAGTAATTTCCAACGACTGGACATCGATTCCTTAGTTCTTTGCCCACCCATTTTCTCAAGATAATTGGTATGAATAAGACTCCACATTTCTCGCAACTGCATCTCATTACCCGTAATCGAATCATGAGTAACTTGAACCCAACTAGTACACAACGCAACATCTTCAAGAAGCGTCCAATTCGTACCTGGTTGAGTAGTCATTTTGTTGGAAAAAAATTGGATTGAAACTTTGAAAGAAAGATAGGAATGTGGTTGAAAGTAGTTGAGAAAATATGAAATTGTGGTGTAGGGTAGAAGATAATGAGAAGGTATTTATAGGTGAAGTGAAATCAAAATTTTTTATAATTTTTCATAATTTTTTTTCGGATTTTTAAGAATTTTTTTACATTTTTTTTTAATTTTTATTCACCTAATTAATCTCTGCCGTTGGATTTAAAAAAAATTTAAATTCCAACACTCCAGATTGTGCCACGTGTCACAACGGTAACATTTTAGATTTTTAAACTGTTTTTTCTTTTTTTTTTTTTAATTTACAAAGCCTAATAACGTGGACCGTTGATCTTAGATCAAACGGATGAAATTAAATTAGATTTTTAAATGTTTTTTACCGTTGGAAATCCAACGGCCCATAAAATAGGACCGTTTCAATCAAACGGACATGGGGAAGCCACGTGGCTTCCCCAACGGTAACTTTTCAAAACTGAAATCGCGGGCCCCTGCCCTGTTTTTTTGTCGGACGACTCGCGCCCACGCGCGCGTGAAACGCACGCGCCTGACGCAGCCCTCGGGCTCTCGGGCTGGCAATCCTCGACGGGCCTGCTCCTCGGGCCTCGCCTGTCGCTCGGGCTTCCATACGCTGGAGGTCATCCCCCCAGCAATTTGCTACTGTTTGACCCACTGGCCCCCGAGCAACCTCCCCCGCTGGAGGTGCTCTAAGGATACAGACTTGAAGATTGTACCTCATCTAACTATTCATCCAAAAGAAAAGAAAGTGGGCTCTACCGCATATATATCAAATTTTAATGAAAATCATGAAAACCCCAAATCACATCCTAACATGAACCTAAAAAACCAAACAATTAATTAGAATAAGAAACGACTCAGACAATTTAAGTTACCTTCTTGTCAATGAAATCAGCCCAGAACCTTGAGTGAGCTTTCTGGTAAGGCTCAGAGGGAAGCAAAGGAGCTTTATCCCTCCAAACCTCATCAATATACTGCACAATAATGAGTGACTCGCAGACCGGCTTACCGTTATGAATGAGAACCGGGGTCTTCTTGTGAACCGGGTTCATCTGCAGAAGCATCTGGCTCTTAATATTATTCCTCAAGTCCTCCTCTCTGTACTCATACTTGACGCCCTTCTCCGCCAGCGCTACTCTGGCCCTCATGCCAAACTTGCTGGCCCAGTAGTCTAGAAGAACAACCTCATCCGCCATTTTTGACACACACACAACTACTTCTAGCTGTAGGCTATAGTGTTTTGCTTGATGCTAAAATATTCCAGATAGATATTCACACACACATATATATATGGAATCCGGATTCTCGCTAGATTTTTTTTTGTAAGAATTTCTAAATTTCGCAAATACAATAAACATATATAATTCATAATTTTTCAAGTTTCTTGTTAAAAGAATCCGAAGAGGGTCGGTAATATATTTACGTATATACACATACGTGGCAATAAGGGTGTGGCTGATTTTTGAAGGGTGTGACGTGGCATGCTGTATGCCATTACTTTCGGTGACGTGGCATGCTATATGTGAAAAGCACGACAAAGTCATGCATGCATTATTTGTTTTGTTTTGGTTTTTTCAACCTTCAACTTTATTTGATGGTAACAAGCAACATTATTTAAATAAATAATGTTTGAAATATGCGATGAGTTACTTTCAGTCAACAATGGCAAATTCAAGATTTGAATAATTGGGGTTTCAATGTTAAAGATTAATTTTGTAATAAAAGAAATTACACTGTACGAATGTGTAGTGTTTGAATTCAAATTTCACTTTATTTATGAAAGTGCCAAGTAGGGGGAGAAAAACCTTTTTACAAAGAGTCTACAGCTTTATGTGAAAAGCACAACAAAGTCATGCATGCATTATTTGTTTTGTTTTGGTTTTTTCAATGGAATTTTATCGAAAAATTTATGGTACTGTTCATTTAACGAAAAACTATATTTTTACATTAAAAAATTAATCATGGTACTATTCACTTATAACACTTTTTTGTCATTTTCGTTAAAAGTTAAAATTTTCAAACTATTTTCATTAGTTTTTTTTTTTTTCAACCATCAACTTTATGTGATAGTAACAAGCAACACTATTTAAATAAATAATGTTTGAAATATGCGATGAGTTATTGTTAGTCAATAGTGGTAGATTCAAGATTTGAATAAGGGGTGTGATATCCACACATCATTTTTACTTCTCTCACATCCTTTTAATTTTCGACAGTCGAATCAGATGAATTAAAGAATATCAAATGACGGAAATTAACAAATGATGTGTGGATAGCACATCCCTTAAATAATTAGGGTCACAATCAGGGCCGCCCCAGGCCCAGTGCAAGCAGGGCGACCGTCCGGGGCCCAAAAAAATTAGGGGCACCAAAATTATTAGGACGGTATATTTATATATGTTTTTATAAGAGTATAAATTTATAAAATTTGGTTCAAAGACATAGAAATTTAACTAGAAATGGTGGTTTGTCATTTGAAAATAATGAGAAGGTCTTGGGTTCAAAACACCATGTGTGCTTATTTACTCTCCATTTTTTACAAATTTCTTTTTATAAGAGTATAAATTTATAAAATTTGTTTAAATGATCAAGAAATTTAATTAGAAACAATGATTTTTATTGTTTAAAATTAACAAGAGGTTCTAAGTTTGAAATGCTATGTGCATGTTTATTCTTTTCAATTTTTTAAAATTTTTGTTTGATTGTTAATTTATTTTTAGTTACTATCTATTAGCTATGTGGGTTGTTATTTTTAAATATTTGTTTTCATTCAAGTCTAATCTTCAACAAAGAGTAATATGTAGACCAAATTTCCAAATTATAAGACGTGTCATCAAAATGTTTAATTTAGTGCCCATTCATTAATAATACATATCAATTAAAGACTCGAGAACATCATTATTTTTAGTACCATATTGATAAGGTTAGTAAATAAGAAAAAAAAAACACCTCACAATTTATTCAAAAACACATTCAAAGTTCAGATGGAAAACAAAACTCATCATCTATCTACTTGTAAGCCCGAAGTTTTTTTGTTTCCCTCTCTCAATACAAAATAAATTAGTCTTTCTGTGTTTCTAAATTATTGAATTTGAAGTGTTTTTCTAAGTATAATTTTATCGATGTCTTATGTGTGAAAATAAATAATTTTCTTACATGAAGTTAGAGCACTTTTTTTGACGTCGCCCCGAGCCTCAAAAATCTATGGACCGGCCCTGATCACAATATTAAAGGTTAATTTTTTAATAAAAATAGAGCAAAGTGTGCAAAAAATTTTATTCACTGAGTCATTGCTTAAAAAGGGTAGGAGACAGAGACACACTTTTCTTTTTCTTTTTTTATTAATTTTTTTCTTTTCTTTTTCCACATTTCAATATTTAAAAAAAAATTGTAATATAATATCCATAGATTCGACCAACCGACGCCTCAGAGGTTGAAGGAAGGAAGATGCCATCATCCATCAAAGAAAACCTCTCCGAATGCAGCCACCAGGTAGAAAAAACGAAGGAAGCTAGTGGGATCCCCATTTGCGACATTGCCAACAAAGGCAGACCAAGAGAAGGAGGTGGTGCGAACAACCGTGCCGATGGGAACACCAGAGCTCTACACATCCTTTCGATATACCACAACAGATTGCGGTTGAAAGTGATGGCAAATCGGCTAAGGTAAGGTATTGATGAAAGATGGAGCCTATGTTTATTGTTTAGGACCGATTTGCATGAATATTTCTCAACATTTATACGATATAGAGAGATAGTGGGAGAGGGGAGACAGAGCGACAAAGAAAGAGGATTATTGCTTTTTGTCTTATTATTTTTATAAAAAAATAAATATAAAAGGTTAACGTCGTGAACGTACAAAATAAGGGACGAGAGGGCAGAGAAGCGGGAGGGCAGAGAAGCCGGGTCTGAGGGAGGAGAGGGGATCCTCGATTTCATGAGTGGGAAAGGGGGTACAGTCAGAGAAAAGCATGGGGTTAGGGATTTCAGATTTCAAGGGGGGAGAGAGGCTGTGCTTCGTTTCGATGGGGCCGAGCGTCTATGATTCGATCGGATCGAGGTGATGGGGACAACGTGAGGGGTTGAGGTGGCGTCGGGAAGGTATGTCGTTTTTTTCTTCCCCTTCTAATTCTCATCTTCAGTTCACGTTGCTGATGCATAAACCCATCAGTTCCTCTGTAATTCGTTTAGTTTTTCATTATTCTTCTTCGATTTCTTTTGTCAAAATTGAAATGGAATTTGTTGGCTTGATTTTGTATTAGGTTGCGAGAGGGTTCTGTTTCTAGGGTTTTCTCCGTCTACCTCTCTGTTTCTCTTCTTCAATCAGTCTGACGTAGTTTTGCAATTTAGGGTTCAGTGCATTTCAATCTTTTTTACTGGAATATACATACATATAAATGTCTAAATTTGTTCAATTTTTCTATACACAGGACTGGGTTAATTTGATTCTTCACCTATGATTGGATATTATATTACAATTGTGGGTTCTGTTTTGAGGGCTGGATGAAAAGAAACACCCATCAGAGCTTCTAACAACTCGAAGGTAAGGAATTCCATCGCGTTTGTTGAAAATATTTTTCACTTTCTGGATGTGCAAAGTCTGGATAGTACACATCACCGGGCCAAACCTTTCCCAGGAAAGGAATTCCATCGCGTTTGTTGAAAATATTTTTCACTTTCTGGATGTGCGAAGTCTGGATAGTACACATCACCGGGCCAAACCTTTCCCAGGAAACGAATTCCATCGCGTTTGTTGATAATATTTGCTTCCTTTCATCTGATGTATGTGTATGTATGATGTATGTGTGTGATTTTAGATTGTAATGTATCACAAATTTATGGCATGAAAATTGACATTTGTAGACTTACCCTTTGTTTGGTGGCTGTGATAATTGGGGGAAAGGAAAATAAAATTTCAAAGATTGATACTTTTATGTGATTTCCTGGCTCTTTTTTTTTTTTCATATGATTTTCATTGTATGTGTGCCAGTGTATGTCTCTTCTTGAAACGTACATGTTGAAAATGGGAGAATTTTGGACATGACATGTTTAGAAGTGAGGTTTTCTGAATGAAGATACTCTTATGATTTTTTTGTAATTTGTTTTGCAAATGGGTAGGAATATCATTCTAAAAGGATTTTGGCAGGAGGGGTGGAATGTCATTCTAAAATATGTGTAATTCAATTCTCTCATTTTCTATAGCAGAATTGCAGATTTCTAAATCGGAAAGGAAAAACAAGCACTATAGCAGTTTATGCAGAAGGAGCATGTAAAAGAGAAGCACAAGTAAAGGTTTCTAAGGTCAGTTGGCTGTTTTCTTTTTAGTATTTTCAATTTGTTCCTTTTATTCTGTCTGCAATTTTTTAATCTGTGGTTATGCATCAATTTCTCTGCTTCTTCTTTGTAAATCTTGCAGATCAGGATGACACACCTATCGGGGCAATGTCGGGATGTTTAGGCTTAGGTGGAGACGTGGACTTATGGAAGAGGTGAAGTAGCTTAGCTCTCTGTCATTAGCTTTATCTGTTCTATGCATCTCTACAATCTTACAATGATCTTTTATTAAATTGCAAGATGTTGGGACCAGTTACTGGAATACGAGATATGGAACAAAAGTGGTTGACAATGCAAGAGTCGAAACCAAGTGTGAAATTCACATTGAAAATGACAGGTGAGAATGCTTAATCATATTCTAAAAAAATGTTGGGTTTCCTAATGAGTTCTCTGAATTCAAAAGGCTAATTTAGTGATTTGGAGTTAATTTTGTAAATTTATTGAATGAAGTCATTTGTTATTTAGCTTATCTTGCGTTTGGTTTGGTTTGGTTTTAGGAGAGGGTTGCGCATGATCTATAGGTTCAATCAACCTCGCTGTTTTTGTGAGAATCACAATTAAAGGTCAGTTTTTCCAACATTTTTTTTTTCTTTTGCGTGCATGTTTGTGCATGTTTGGTCTCTGAGATTTTGTTTTTAGTCACCGTTGATTTGTAATTTATGTCTCCCTTTGGCTACATATTGACACAGGTTTATTCTCAGCATTTTTTTGTTAGGGTAAGTGGTTTGGTGAGTTCTGTATTATTATATAATCTTTGGGGCTATTTTAAGTAAAAATGAAATGTTGACATTGATATAGCATACGGCACACTTAATTCACACTCCTATATTCGGTCTTCATGTTTCCATTTCAACACTCTGCATTTCCCACCCAATGAATTTTTTAATAAAGACGTAGTTAAAGCAATTACATGCTCTATCAAGTATGTTTTATATGTAGTTGTGGTAGTTGCAAGGAAATGAAATATTTGTGCTGATAATTGGTAGTTTAAATATATAGAAATAAAGAATAATTATAAATGGAGCACCAAGGATATTTAACATTGTTTTCTTTTCCATGTAATTTTTCTCATGTTTAACATCTGCTTTTGCTTATGCATTTGATTCAAGTGCTATTTTTATTAGTGTTAATTTTGGGTTGCATATCCACATACTAACCCAGTTAATTTTGCTTGGTGTTGATGCATAAGGAGAACTCCCATTGCATCAACTTGAACAAACATTCTTCTACTTAGTTGCTTAGCTGCTGAAACAACAACGAAACACTTTTTATGTTTTTTTGTTTAACTGCTAATACAGGTGGCTGGCCTGCATGGCATATATTTTGCCATCTTAACTTCAAGGGTAATATATGTGTAAAATGCATGTTGCTTAGGGAAACAGAGCATTTTTTTTTGCAACCACATCTTTTTGTAATTAGCTCGGTTGAATGTATATAAAAGTCAAGCTGCTTATCTTACCGACACCGTTCACTCATCTATCCCTTTTGTTAGTTCATGATTATGTTGAATTTTTTTCAGGTTAAATTTGTCTTATTCATGTAGTTAAGGTTGGTGTATTTAAGTAGAAATGTCGGGCATATTTACTAGTATAATCTAAAAACGGAACGGGGGACATGCATGCATTTTTTGTGCGTGTAATTTCTCAACTTCTCTTTGGTGGTGCAGGTGCTGCTGAAGCTAATAGGCTTGAGCAATGCTCCTTCAACAAAACAAGGAAAAAAGAGTTGTTCAAATGGCAGTATTCGAGTCTCTTAGTGTTTCTCATTAATATTATCATTCTAAACGCACCAATAACATTATCATTTCCTGATGCTATAATGCCCCAAATATTTTGATTAAAAGTGATGAACTGCATAACCAAACGACATTTACCTTCTAATTTCCATCAAAGAGCAACTTGTTATTAACTCTGTCAAGTTTCTGCCAAGGGGATTGCACTCTTCAACATGGGAAGGAAACCTTCTGCTAGTAGCCATGCTAAATTAACACAAGCAACCAGGAATTTGACTTGGTGGTGGGTATGAACCATTTACACTAATTAATCAACTGGCAGGAGGCAAAACTCTGCATGATTTTTATTTTATTTTTTGGTAAATGAATAATTTTGCATGTTATCTCAAGATGTGAGATCAGTACTAGTTGGTTAAATATTGTTGAATTGTATAACACAAGCACTGTTCTAAAAATCCCCGCCTAGGACCTGCTTAGGCGTTAGGCGGCTGGTCATCGTCCCGATTAATGCTTAGATGTTTAAGAAAAAAAAAAAAGGCGTCTAGACTTGTTTAGGTGCCCGCCTAGTCCGTCCAAACCCGTCTAGACACCAGCTTAGGTTGCTACTTGTTTACACAGAAAATAGATAATTTTCATTTGTATTTTATTTTTTTTTCAATAAATTATAAGAGACTTATTGAATACTTAAATGAACACATATTATATGCTTGTTCTCTATGTTTTCATTATGTTCCAATACCTCATAATATATATGTTATTTTATTTTGTAGTTTATGATGAAATTATATTTTAAATATAAACAGACGTTTATTTACACGAAATATGATAGATTTACTTAAATTCACTTAGGCGTTAGATTCTAAACCGCCGTCCAATTAGCGCCTAGCGTATTTTAAAACCTTGAACATAAGATAGAAAATAAGTAAATAATGCAGAATACAAGAGGATCATATGATCCAGCAAGGAAATTTTACAAATGCATATCAATTCACCATTGGATCAGTCTAGATGTCGATGGTACAGGTCTGCAAAACCTAATTCCTGATAACCAACAATTTATGACTGGAAGTTCTAGGATGATCGTAGTGACAAATTAAAAGTCCAGTTCAAAGTCCAGTTCAAGTTCAATTTTCAATTTAACTTCCACATGCACATCACATACCAAACTATTTTACACATATGCAATTAAAAAGATAAATAAAATGTGCACACAAGATGTAGGATTTAACGAGGTAAAATCCTGAAAAAAATCTTTAGGCTCCTAAGCCAAGACAAACAGTACTAAGACAAATGAATTCAAAAGATTTACAAAACTCATCTTACTAGACTCACAACAAGAAAACAATTTTGTCTCTACACTTTTGCTACTCGATCTCTCCAATCCTTGAGTGGGAGTGGCACAATACTAATGCGTCCGTCAATCACTATATTCTCAAACTTTGCAGAATACTAACTTAATAATGTAGAATTTATGTATGATGAAATAATTTTTGAAGAGCAATCAATTATGAAAGTTACAAAGCACATTTTTATAATTGAGTTTTACTTAATGCAGGAAAAACCAATGATCAAAAACTAATTTTTTTTTTCTAAAAACGAACGGCCGGCTGCAAAACCGGTTTTTATTCTCTCAAAATACTTTGAAAAATGGACTCTTTGCATACGGGCTGCTATCAGATTTTTCTTTCATTAATTTAAAAACTCATTACAGGCCAATTGTAGGGTAAAAAAACTGGATTAGAGTGGTTCTTCTAGCAAATAGGAAAGAGACTATAGGGTGCAAAAGAAATGGTGTATGGTACTTGCATTAGCATGGTGCGCCTATAAATATTTGGTCACTAGTTCATCAAAATTATGCGGAGGGAAGTTGAATTCGGGCGTAAAGGAAAGAGTGCATTGCTCTAGCCAATTTGATTAAGCTTAAATATGCGATAATATACTAATCACGACATCTGGATGGTGCGTGAGTAATAAATACAATGAGTTGACACACCATAAGACTAATAGACACACATCAACATTAATTATACGACTTACGTGCGGTATGGACGGTTATCTGTTGCGCAACTCTCAAAGTAAGTGAAAAACAATACAGATATACAAGATAAGTTTCCATAAAGATTCATGAATTGAGTTTACTGACTCGACAAAAAAATCTTCATTTTTGTTTTTGGAAATTAAAATATAAATCTTTATGGCTTAACTCCGATTCATATACATTCAAATTCACAGAAAAATCCCTCACAAAATCACATCTCTTCCAAAACTGCTGCTGCTGCACTACCTATTTATACAAACTTCAATGAATTTTCACCTTTACCCCCACAACCAATTCGTTCGTTTCAAACTTGACTACTTTTACTGACCAATTTGTTACTGAAATACTGATAGTAATTGCTGTTACTGTGGCTATTATTCTTGCAATTTGATGATCGAGTCTTCACAAATGATAATGGACTCAAATTTGAGTCCTCAATTTATGATAATGGACTCAGAAATTGACCTAGAGAGACTCACATTTGACTCTCACTATTTTTAATTATTCATTTATATGTATGAGGTCAATTATTTTTTTCCTCCAATGACAATGGAGGAGCATTTGAGTCCCCAACTTTATAATGCACCATACCAGATCATGTCCAAAAAGGTTGTTAGTGGACCTGCACCAAATATTGATTTCCACCCTTGGACTCATACATCTAGACTCTTTCTCACACAAGATTCGAAAGACGCATCAAAGTTTCTCACCATAATATCTCACTAGAAACTAAAACAAGATACATAAAGGAAAGAAATTAGACGAATTAAACTGGACACAGCTTGAGACTTCACTCTAGGACTTCGACATTCTAGCTAGCAGCCTATCGATATCTCCCCCTCTATTCCACACCAAGCATCTTCTTAATGCTAAGAACGAACTCATACACCTTCTTTTCGTCAGCAAGGGATTTGGAAACACTCTCCCTCTGCTTGCACCGCTTGGCCCATGCAATGAGCTTGGGACACTCGGCCTCGATGCTGAAGTTTCCACAGGTCTCATATGCATGGAACCAGCTGTAGAACGTGATGAGAGCAATGTCCAAGAACCCAAATTTCTCACCCTCAAAATATGGCTTGCCTCCCAGCTGTCCCTCCAGCTGCTTCAGGATTTCGATGAAGTCCTTTTTAGCTGCCTCTTGTTCCTCTCCCTTTGTGGACCATATCTTCCTCCCAGCATCATATAGCTGCAATTTTAAGACAAGATTGCATCAGATCATTGCTATAGCGAGTTCAATGGGATTAATTAAATTTTGACTTCTATTTCTATTTCCTGCGGCTATATTTGGGTAGGGTTTTGTAAGTTCCAATGATTGAACTCGAGTAGTAAGAAATGGATCACAAAAAATATATAGCAGAGATTACAAAAGCCGTTCATGAAATTACAAAGGTATGCATGTAAGAGAGATTTGAAAGTGACAAAAGACACTTTTCAAGGACGGACTAGCTCTCTTGTATCTCTTATGCCTTTGAAATGCTTATATGATACATTTCCTACTCCTAGTCCCTCTTATCCCACACTTTGTGATATTTTCCTTTATAATTTGACTTCAACTCGTGACTTAGAAATCCTCACCTACACATAGCCTATCAAAACTTATATTTTGATCCTCATGTAAAACTCTTGTTTATGCTAAGGATACAGACTTGAAGGTTGTCCCTCATCTAACTAATCATCCAAAAGAAAAGAATGTGGGCTCTACCGCATATATATTAATTTTGCGATGAAATTCATGAAAACCCCAAATCACATCCTAACATGAAACTAAAAGGCAAACAATTAATTAGAGTAAGAGACAACTTAGACAAGTTAAATTACCTTCTTGTCAATGAAATCAGCCCAGAACCTAGAGCAAGCTCTCTGGTAAGGCTCAGAGGGAAGCAAAGGAGCTTTATCACTCCAAACTTCATCAATATACTGCACAATGATGAGTGACTCACAGACTGGCTTACCGTTGTGAATGAGAACCGGGATCTTCTTGTGAACCGGGTTCATCTGCAGAAGCAGCTGGCTCTTGTTCCTCAAGTCCTCCTCTCTGTACTCATACTCGATGCCCTTCTCCGCCAGCGCTACTCTGGCCCTCATGCCAAACATGCTTGCCCAGAAGTCCAGAAGAACAACCTCATCCGCCATTTTTGACACACGCACAAAACTACTTCTAGCTGTAGGCTATAGTGTTTAGCCTGATGCTAAAATATTCCAGATAGATATTCACACTTGCAGAAGAGGATATATATGTACACACACACACACACATACGTGTTTGATGTTGCATGTGGCTAATAAGGATGTGGCGGATTTTGGGAGGGTGTGACGTGAAACTGCTTCCACCTAGCTACTTCCCGAAGGTGCCATTACTTTCCTTGTTGGAAGTTAGATATATATAATAAATATAGTATTATACAATATATATATATGTATGTATGTATGTATGTATGTATGTATATGCACCGAACTTATTACCTTGAGAATTACAAAAGTAGCATTTTATGAGAAAAATTAAACACCAATGTATCTATTATATTATAAAGACAAAATTAGTATCTATTATATTATAATGTGTCGATTGAACGAATATATTTTTGGTTTCGACGAAGATGAATATAATCATTAACTGATGGGGAATTTGTTACTCATTGGGTATTGTTATGGATAATCTCCGATGGTTAATTTGCAGTTATGGATATGATTAATTTTCATGGTTATGAGGATGGTATAACATTTCCGTCCTCAAACCGAACCATTGCCATCCCTAACCATGCATGCATATTTTGAGACCACATCTTTGAAAAGGAGTTCATTCTTTTAAAGATAATTCTAGAGGTTTACTTTCTATTGATAATGTTGGAAAAATTGGATCTAATTGCTATAATAAATCACATAGAAAGTCAAGAAATAATTCATGAAATTATATATCACAATCATGCATGCACATTAGTAACCAATGTTAAATGAACATGATATAATGGATTAGAAAAACCTAGAAAATCAGTTGCAACTCTTCATTTGAGTAGACACATCTTTTTACCAGAAGGCTCTACTTCTAATTTCCATTCAATTAATAAATTTATTATAATAATATTATTATTAAATTTTCCAACAATCCCCCACATGAATGGAAATTGACTCAATACCATTCAGATGACAATGCAGACACTAGAGAGAGAATTCAGTAGGAAAATACCGCATCGGGATAGGTGGCTTTTGGCTTTGAACCTTCCATAGTGAATTACTACCGGATTTACTTGGCTAATCAGTGAACGCGATGTTTTGAACTACTTAGCCGTTTGTGTAAACCAAGACAATAGTAATCACACAATACCCTTCTAGACACCCCGTGGTTGCTCGGTTGTGTTCATTTTGGCCCTGAACAATTCTTGGTTTCTCATGAGTGCTTTTAGAGAACTAAGCCATTCAAAAAATTCTCGCAGGAATGGTCCCATTCCTCACTCAAGATAGGTGACTTCCCATTAAGAGTATCTTGCAATACCCCACTTGTTATTTTCAAGTATAGGAATCATTAAAAACAAAGCTTATCCTAAATACGATGCAGATAACACTATTTCATCGTAGGACATGGGTAGGAGATTATCTCTGCAGTGCTCCCATTGAATCATCCACAATTCGGTTGTCCCTTTGAACCTAGATCTTGGGATCTCTAGTCAGCTAGGTTTGCCATTATGGCAATTCTTAAAGACGTAGGCTTTTAACTCATTCCCCTTGATGATACAACTTACTCTCTAGTAAAACCTTTAAAAAATTGGTACCACTAAGTTGACTACTCATACTATATGGCCATCACAAACTTTATATCCATACATGGAAATTATTTCATTCGAGAGTAGTTGTTTTTCAATGTTAAGTCTTCCAAACATATATGGGGACTTACTAAGTAATTTGCGTATGCCTAGGTAAACTCCCCCACGTTTAAGGTATTTATCGAAAAGTTTATAACCTTTCAATACCTTAAAATACCGCAAGAGATAATCTTTATCTCTTTCTAGAAGCAAATTACTTGTTCATTCTACCTAAGTTGACATATAGTCCAAAAATAACTATGTCACTCCCCCACAATTCGCTCACATTGTGGTTGCTTTTTAATGCTATCAATTACTCTTCATATCTTCACTTCTAGGCTTTCAAGCCTCACAAGGGCTTTCTAGAGAAGCACTTTTGGCACTTCTTGCCTTTAGCCTTTAAAGTTACCGAGATTTCACAGTTAGGACTTCACTCCTTGACTAAAGACCACAACTTTCTTTATAACACATGTGCAAACTTTCACCATGACTAACATGGAAGAAGGTATATAGTTCTCTCTCTAGTGTAAATGCTTTATTTCACACTATACAGGTAGTCATATCCTTAATGGCAACTGACATGCCTTCAAGAGAAACTGCCATGATCTGCGTATTGCCCACTTGGCTTCAAGGCATGGGACATACATGATGAAGGTAAGAAATTGAACAAAGACATGTCCGGTGAAGTATCTCTTCACCATAGGTTTCTCCATGAACGAGAATATGCTCCATTCATGTTTTCCAGAAACTTTCCAAGAGACCCATCTTCCCATTTGAAAGATTGTAATCGCTCACATAGAGCACAAACATGCATGCCAAAAAAAATAAAAAATTCTCTCACAGAAAACAAACATAGTAATAACGCAAGTCAAGGGTAAAAATAACGCGTATAAAAAATGGTAATAAAAATACCATTCCATGAAATGCCCAGAAACTTCCAACTTATTCATGAGAACTGACTGCATCTTATTTTCTGCAGTCCAAGACGCACCACCATTTACATCTCCACTTTTACAGTAAAGAAAAGATATCTGCAATTGCCATGCATGCAGTGGTTTTTCACATATACAACAAAGCTAACTAATCGATGCCACTCAAACAGCATCATCGATCTCTTCGGTCTGGAAAAAAAATAAAAGATCATGTTCATAACCACACCATCTCTGTAACCGACTTGTTACAGTCTGATAAGAGACCTTTGTAAGGTTGTGAATGACAATGAATGATGTATTGGATTACTTATGTTGTAGGCCACTTGTTTATTGAGTTGTTAACAACTTAAGTAATCTGATAATGGAGTCTTATCCTTTGCAATTGACCTAAAGAAATCTGATGGATTTCACTACAAAGATATAGTATCATGGTGGGACTTAAACACTTAAGTGATAGGGTTTGACTTTCACAACCAATAATAGGCTGGCTGTGATTAAACCCTAATGATATAAATACTATAGTTAAGTCTCTGCTTCCATACGCTTAATCTCTCATATACGCTGAACCCTATTCATATAGCAGAGAGATATTATTGAAGTACTGGAAGTAGAAGACAACCTATAAATCTGCAATGTCTTCCATATTCTACAGATAAGTTTAATATAATTAGTTAATCTCTATTTTATATTGATTTGATTTATTCGTGATCCTAATGTCTTGTTGTTGTAATTTCAGAATATATCTTACAACCTTTTAATGACCAGTAAGTCATGATACCTTTCCAGCATTTTTGGAAAGAGGGATGAGTCTTTCGCGCATTTGTTCGGATTAAAACAATTTGGGCTTTGACAAAAAGATGCAATTTCCAGCCACTTGTGTTTTGAGTCACAACTCTTCATTAAGAGTTACTCAGACTTTGACGTATGCAAGTCTAATAATTGCATCCCCTTAGGCAATCTTTGGTCTTTGATTGAAATGCCAAACTCTTTTATCTGGAAAATTTGATATTTCCAGATTCCGCAAACCAATTCTGCTGTGTCAAAATGGTTCATCCATTCTTGAACCAGAATTTGTTCATCCCTCCACTTCTAATCAAGATCCCGTTATCAAATGGTGTGACTCGTATAGAAGAATGCACTGGATTTTAATACCCAGATTTCCAGTTGATAAGATTCTAATACAAAACACAAATTTAATCACAATAAAACGATCAAATTTTTAAAGTTTGCATTTTGTAACTCATAATTGGATATACTGAAAATGGAAGGAAACGATCGTGCCGCCATGCACCAAGTGAGAAAAGACATGTCCAATTTAATATGAACATATAGATTTGAGTTCAACAAACAAATATAGCAAACACAAGAATTAACACATAATTGTCATGTTCTTCGAAATAATATGTGATTGGAATTTTTTTTTTTGTGTCTACAGCCGAATCATGCACCAATTAATGTAGCAACCAAACCAAATAAATTTAACATGACTATATGGAAACAAAATCATAGTTTTATGCAAAGATTAGATACCATACCATTCTCTCACAAAATTAAACAAGAAGAAATTATGCCTCTAGGACCAAGCATTATTATATCACGAATCATTTAATTCTCAAACAAACATAGCAATCAAACCATAAAACTTGTCTTAAGATTGTTGGAAAAATTGGGTCTAATTACTATAATAAATCACATAGAAAATCAAGAAATAATTCATGAAATTATATATCACAATCATGCATGCACATGAATAACCAATGTTAAATGAACTTGATATAATGGATTAGAAAAACCTAAAAAATACGGTCGAGACAGGTGTTGGACACTTTGTCTTTAAGACAAGTTTACGCCCTACTACGGTGCTCATGGTTGATCACCGCATATCTCCCGATATACAACGACCACGTCCTTGTAATAGTAGTATTCCAAATCACAAGGCTTGTTTTGTTAAAAAAAAAAAAAAAAAAAAAAAAACAAAACTCAGCTTGATGAGGTGTGTCCCTATTTTATAAAAATTGACGTGTGAGGTGTGACCCCTCCCCTTCACCCCACCCTTCTCACATTAGGTAGGATTCTCAAAACGGTGTGCCATTTTGCGCATTGGAGAGCACATAACATTATTTTTTTGGTTTTTCCCTTCATCATCTTCCTTGGAAAGCGAAAAGCATTATGACTTTGGATTTTTTTCCTTTTTATTCTTCTTCTCCTCTGATTACTCATCTTCTTTTTCTTTTCCGTTTCCTCTTCTTCTATTTTGCTCTATAATTCCCCTTCTTCGATGGAGTGTAGAGAGAAAGGGAGTCACGACGGCGAGAGAGAGGAGGTCGTGGTGCATAGAGAGGGAGTTGAAACGGCGATAGTGTTTTCAATTCTGGGTTTTATTTGAACTTTCTTCCCAAAATCCCTTCACTCCTCCTCCTAAACCGCCGCCTAGACGGCCACCTAGACTGCCTAGGCCATCTAGGAGCGCCTAGGCGGGTGACTTACAGGTCCCCGATTTTGCCTA